CTGAGAAACTGTGATAGACTTTTAACAAAGTTATGGCACATTTCAGACTTCAGATATCCAAAACAGATTTACCAGAGGGTTTTCATGTCAAAATGTTGCAACTATTTCAGTTCCAGCAGGAGGCGGGAAATGTTTTTTGTGATTAACACCTTTTAAATTGTGTGATGATGACACCCATTTTCCTCCCCACCCTGAAAAGCCCCACTTTTCTTCAGTATTTGGTTGTTGCCCCGTGTATTTAATCTTCATTAGGATCGATGGTGGTAGTGCCAAAAAAGTGTGAATGTCTGTGGACGGCTGAAGCAAGAACAATCTGATATTTGTCTCAGTATGAAGGGTGAGTCAGGGCCAAGTCTTGTCTTCCTGTATGTTTTGAATTCATGTGTCTACTGGTGTGTGTATGTGTGTTTGGTGTGATTACCATAAAATCTAGATGGGATTGTGGGGATTAATAACTGTAGAGGGATGATCATTTGGATTACAGACACAGGATCGTAGGGCTGCTACTAGCAATTATTTCTATTATCAATTAATCTGCCACTTATTTTGCTGATTAATGGTTGCATCATCTGGTCTATTATATATCAGAAAATGGTGAAAATGCCTAACTCAATTTACTAAACCCCAAGGTGACATCTGCAAATTGTTTGTCTTGTGTGTTTAGTTGTCCAAAACCTAAAGATATCCAGTGTACCATCACATAAGACAACGAAAAGCATCAAATCTTCACAACTGAAAAGCTGGAATTACGACCAGTTGGGAATATTTGTTGAATTGCTTTATAGATAGTAAGTAGTTGCAGATATTTTTTGTTGATCAACTACGCAATTAGTTTAATAATTGCCTAGTCAAAGCTCTAAAGTTTTTATATAGTGGCATGTCTGTATATTAACTTCTGTTAAATTCATCCAGGACACATGAAACTCTTCTTATTTGAATCACTTATTTTAATACAGACCAATACTAAAATCATACTGATGAACTACAATGACCACAATGCACTGTGCCTTAAACAAAAGCATGGTGTTTCCAAAATAGCCAGTGGTCTTTTGACTCAAAGTGATCAAACAAGGCCACTCCAAGTGTTTACAAGGTTCGTCATTTTAAATCACAAAAAAATATAAATTAAGCAAATACATTTACAGCCTCTAAGGCACATTGTGCTCCTGTACCAAACCCAGCATCAGCTCCACCTCTGTCCCAGGCCTCATTCTCACTGCAGGAATAAACCCCTGCTGTATCGCTCAGCTGTTTCATAGCCTCATTTCTTCAGTTGCACTCCCAGACTCCAGCTCCATTCAGGCCAGCTCTCCTCTGGCCCAGTCCCTGCTGCTGCTGCAGCCTGGCCTTTCAGCCACTGAGCACACCAACACAGGGAGAGCTCCAGACCAGACCAGACAGCATCTTACACTGGATAACAATCATCCACTACAGAAAGAAATTCCTTAGTGTATGAATTATGTTATGAATTGTGTCGTATTTGCTAGAGGACTGCAACAAATACTCGTTGCAGAAAACAAAGCAGGAGGGCCGGGAGTTTGGATTTGCGTGAGAAAAAGTGTTTGATTTTGCCGTTGACACATCCAAGGCATTGCAATGGAACCAGCCGGCCGCAGCTGAAAATAGCTCATAATCAATCAACTGGCAGACACATATCTGTGCTCTTAAAACGTATAAATGTGCGATGCAGAGGGCGGATCAATGGGTGACAGGATTCCACAAGCATCGATATGGACATGCTCTTTGGCATAACAAGTGCTCGCCATCGGCCCATACTTATTTCCTGTGACTCTATCCAATGGGTCGTCCGGCGTTAGGCCTGCTGGAAAAAATATCTGCCAGTGTAGCAAGGTCTGTGAAGGACAACACAGATGGAACGGCCGAGGTGTATAATCTGCCTTCACAACACCTAAATATGACAAACAGCTGTATCTTGATCTTGTTTGGTGGTTTTTACGACAGTGTATCTACTGTGTTCGACTGTTAGCATGTAAGGTTGCTGCCTGCCAATCTGTTCCTTCCACAAACAGCCACTTGTCGGCCAACTTCCTCTTTAATTTACACTCAGAGTAACTGAAAGCACTCTTATCACATTTGTGATCTAAGACATAGCCTACAACATGAGCACAAGTCTGTGGAAACACAAAAAACATAACAGAGGGCAGGTGCAGAGAACAAAAAGTAGAAGATGAAATGAAAGCTTCCTGGACTGACTATAGGATTATAAGAGCAGGTTGAGTTAGTGCTAGCTCAAAAGTAGCTAGCACTAGCATGAAAGGGGCAAGCAAACAGACAGGCCTATATAGTCTTGAACCTAGAGGAACAGCCAAATCAATACAACAGACATTCCCAAACAATATAAAGTTTGTTTAAATATAGCCCGAGTCCAACGTTATGACCTCTGCTCCCTTCATTTCAGCCCAGTTGGCTGCTGAGGCCGTCTGCCAGTGTTTAACTACTTCCAGGACAGTTGCTGAGAACATTCAGTATAGCTGAGTGGTCAAAACAACAATAGGTGTATGCGTGTGTGTGTGTGTGTGTGTGTGTGTGTGCGGGCCTTTAAACACAGACAGGTCTGCTGCCATGTAGGACAGAGTATCTATGAATGCCCTCCATCCACACAGTTCATACAGAGGTTAAAACTAAGAGAGGAACTAAGTGAGAGGTCACGCAGTCTGACAAATTCCAGACATCAATCAAACACACTGACAATAGGGGCATATTGTGATGTCTCTACCGAACAGTGAGATTTCAATATGAATTGCAAATGTGGAAACAGTTTTTTCCTGTTCCAAAAATCATGGTAGGTATTGAGATAGATTTATTGTACTTCAAGTTGAATTTTTAGTAAAGTCACAGCACTACATCACACATTCGCTCTCCTATGGAAAAGGAAAAGCACTTGAGCGACGAAACACAACAAGAAAAACACAGGATTACTGACAAATAAAAGTAAAAGACAACACACTAGAACCGCACAATTATTAACCACATCAAAACTGAAATCGCAGTTTGAACATTTGTTCACAAAACTTATCATCATCTTTCACCTCCTTTACACACCAGTAAAATACATTAGTTAGCTTGTTGAAAATTTATTGGCCAAATATACAACTGCTCACATGCTGCCAGCCAATCAGGAGCAGCAATGTAACAGCCAGAGAGGCAGTGATAGGAGGACAGCAAGAAGGGCAGGAGGGAGAAGCAATCCAAGAATGAATGACACTGAAGAGGAAAGGGGTTGGAAACAGAGAGCACAATTGGGACTTATAATTAAGGTTAAAGCATCAGCCATCCTGCAATATTTTGGATTTGGAAGAGTTGGTGTATCACAACCTCCTTGCAAACAAAATGTTGGCTACTTACAACATGAGGACAGAAAGTTCAGGCAATAAATGCATTCCAACACCAGAGAAGTCATAAATAAAGCACTGTATTTAAAAACTGTCTTCATTTCACTCTGTTGATGTTTACAGCTATTTACAAGCCTCAGTAGTTTAGGTTATTGAAATATAAATATTCTTGCTTATATCAACGATCAGTGGACCAAGGCATTTGCAGAGTTTTGACAAGGACATTTGGGGAAAAAGATTTTAAATGTTTATTTAAACCACAACATTATGTGCTAGTATGATACTGGATGAGTGACTAAAATAAACACTAGATGCTTTTTTACATATTGTGCAGTCGTCCCGCACAGACACAGACTGACTCAGAGCAGCAAAGACAAACACTTCGACTGTAACAGCTCCACCTTACAGATTCATGTGACTCTCCAACCATCACCTGACTATCTCTCTCCTTTCTATGGAAGCTGCTTTCAGACAGGGCAACCAGGGGGAGACTTGACCTGAAGTCAAATTTATGTTCGAGAAACGGAAGACATTCACGAAGAGAGTATAGAGACTGTTTGTCTGCGTGCTTTCCCATCTCTGAAACATCTCGACACTGCGTCCATGTAACGCGGGCTCACAGATCGCTGACAACAAGACAATATCTCCGGTCACTGATAGAGTGTGCCTCAGAGCGAACCCAAAGCGATAAAGGGAACCAACCTTTGGGATGGGAGGGGACAACTTCCAAGCATGCTGCACCCCTGCGTCTGTACCATGTACATGTCCTGATATTTACATGTGAATCCAGAGGTGAGTCAGAGAGGAAGCGGAACGAGAGCGCTGTAATCAGTGAGTCACTTTGCATATCCAAACTTCCTTTTACAGGCGAGACAGGGGCCCTCTACTGTGTACAACCAGCACCCTATGGTGGCCCAAGGTAAAAGGGGAGCCTTCTAAACAATCTGGGGCACCGTGCAAAGAGGCATCGGTTTCTGCACCTTGCCACATTGCAGTTATCAGGATTTCCTAACTACAGTATCTGGAGTACAATTGTATTAGGAAAAACGATACAGATTGTAGCCAAAATCAGATCATGACCCACATAGCTTTTGTCCAGCCTCAGAGACACTGAACTTGAGTCCATCAACCCCGCAGGTAGGTTATTACCATCACCAACGCTGAAACGAGAGATCCTAATTTAAACTACAGCAGTATTATATATTTGCATGTGTTTGCAGACACATTTTACATCAATACAATCCCAATGAATTGGGCATTGTGATACAGGCTTTGCATATTGCCATGGTGAGATGTGAAACACAATAACGTGAGGAGATATATGTATAATTTTCCAATGCAAGGACCAATGCAACTGCCGCTCGCCTTGCCACACCCAGAGCAAACATATCTTGGTCATATTCATATATGACATGACACCAGCACACACCGCAGAGCATACACCTCAAACAGAACACAAAGAGGACAGACAGACAGAGCAGGGATGTGACAACAGTTTACAGGCAGTAAAAAAATAGCTCACTATATGATAGCTGCACAAATAACTGATTACATAATGTATGTAGTTGTAAAAAAATCTTCTGCAAACTTGCTAGTATGCGAAGCTGAAAATCACACCACAAAATGTCTTTTAATGTTTGAACTCACTATTGTGCACAGTCGATGAGCTGGTACTCATTGGACCTCTCAAAGCATGCCTTCACTCCTTCGTCATCCCACAGCTTCTTTGCGTGATCAAAGAACTCCTGAGGAAAGGAAACAAAAAAACAGCAGTTGAAAATAACATATTGAACATTAAAAGACTTGAAGTAAAATGCTATGATGGGACGAACAGGGGTCTTGGATTCATTCATGGTGGTACTGTTGAAGCACACAACAAAAAGTTCTCCTCTTTTGTGAGTTTTGTAGTCCACTTTTAATTATGTAAATGATTCTTGAAAGTATGATCTGAGTGTTAAGATGGTCATTAAAGGAAGTTTACTTTATTTAGATGTCCACACAAATGCAAAACAATGCCAACTTAATTGCCAGTATCTATCTGTGTCACCTTAGCAGACTTTTTCAATACTTACTATAGAAAATACAGGTAAGTATAGGTATGGATACAATAAATTAAGACAAACTATTGTGCAGACTTTTAGTAAATCCAAACTTGTACATTGAAAACGCAACTTTAAGCCATTGAAACTCGTGCTGCCATGACAACTGGATAGCTAAATAAACAAACACATGAAAGGGAAATTCTATTGCCTATTTTATATACACATTTATCCAAAGAGAAATAATTGGTCAGTTACACGCAATACATACAGCCAATACATACATACATACATACATACATACATCAGCCCAGCAGACACTGACTTCTACTTGATCTGTTTAGTTAAAGCAGCCGGGTGCAGGACTGCCGTTCACAGTAAGCGCAGAGATAAGTAGAATGTCTTACTCAACAAGTATTAGTATTGTATTTCACTTAAAGGTATGGCTCAACATTTTGGGACAAGCGCTTATTTGTTGTCTTAACAGGATTTCCATGTGTGTGTAATGCATTGGGAGCTGGAGTAGGGATATGTTTAGCCTAGCTTAGCATACTAACTGTAGGCAGGGGGGAGCAGCTAGCCTGACTGTCTGAAGTGAAAAAATACTACTACCCAACACGTGCTATAACTACTTCCTGGTGAACAATAGCAACCAGAGACGCTGCACAAACATGCTGGTGGATATATGAACTGTTGTTCGTCAAGAAATAGTCCCAGCATGTTGTGTATGGATTAAACCAACAAGACAGAAGCTTCAACTACGTACTTACAACACAGACATCCATCAACATAAACATCAATATTTCTCCTCTAACTCTCTTAAAGAAAGCAAACAAGACTATTTCCATTATGGTTAAGTGTTCCTTTAACATTTATAAGTCATATTAACAGATAAGTAGAATGATCTGTGCTGAAATCTACTAAACTCAGAGACTCAGTTATAAATGGTCATATGGATGCTCTTCAAAGTGCTGGCCACTTTTTCTGAATATTAACAGCTTCTCACATATTGGCGCTGTTTATACCTGGTATTAAAATGTGTTTTGGGTGATCTATCATGAGCAGACAGTGCGAATTACAAATGATGCATCGTGATCCGAGCACTCAAACCACTTGCCGAGGTGGTCTGGGATGCATTTGACCACATATCTTTTGTACTGTGAACACTAATACGTCCTGATGTGTCCCCAAGAACGACTACGTCATCAGTGCAGGACATGGTGGATGCTTTGGTGACAGCGCACTAAAGCTAACTTACTCATTTTAGTGTTGCCTGACCATCCTTTGTTTTGTTTTATGGAGGGAGACGTTGAATTCTGCTGACAGTGATATCTCCATCTGTACTGACACAACTACAAACGTGACTAGCAAGCATGCTACAGTGCCGGGCAGTATTAAAATCTGAACACAAGTGGTCAGCTGGAAAGGCATGATAGGCACAGGTGTGAACAGGAGCTGTCCATTTCTGTTCGGATCACCAAAATGCATGCTAATACCAGTTCTAAACAGGCTTACTGCCTTTCTAAGGAAGACAGAGTCACCTCAAAGTTAAAGTAATACCATTCTCATAATGCCATGACAGCATAACTGTAGGCCATTCTGTAAAAAGTATTTGAATGCAGCACTGCATCAAGAATCTACGAAAGTGAAAGCAGAAATACTGGTTTCGTATTTCCACGAAAAATACAAGGAAAAGCTATTTACAGTAGCAGAAGGAGCTGATGTGAGCTCTCATTCACTTCCTCGATACAGAATTGAATTTCAGCGTATGACTTCCTGGTCACAAGCTCTCTTCTCTTAACTGTAAGCTTAAGCAACAAAAGTGGTACACTTTGATGACACAGCTTAATTGTGGTTGAGATTAGTCTTGTCGAAAATATCAGTTTATCAATACAATACTCATTTTTGGCAGTATTGATACAGTGGTACCAGCTGGACCTTCTCGCTCTCTCTAATAGTTAATATTTACTACAGTCATTTTGCTTTTCTCTGCTGCTAATAAAAAAGAAAAGTCATCGCTTTCATGAGATAGCCTTGTTATATTTCAGTTCAATTTCAAGTGAATTATCTTTAAATTTAAAAAAAATAAATAAATAAATTATGTTCCCAGTGTCAATTTTTTTCCCCATGGTATCAAAAATTGTATCAAATATCAATATTTTTCTTGATATTGCCACAAAGTTAGAAATTCTGCTATTGTGACTACAGAAACAGTTAATTACAGCTCTAACACTATACAAATATAGCCTCTACAGTCCTGCTGTTCAAACCCCAGCCATTGGCATGATGTAAATAACGATACATGTCTCAGTAGGAGCTCATCTTATCAATGACTTTGAGACATTTCCCAGGACTCTCTGTATGCCCTAAACAAAGATGATTGGGCTAATATCCCTTGTCGCCTCCTGTGCACATGTCTTTCAGATGGGCTCCTCCTCTAGCCTGGAACCACCACATGACTCTCTGCACTCAGCACTGGCTCTGCACTCTGACTGGGGAGAGGGTGAAAGTAGCCCCGAACCAGAGCGAGCGAGGGAGAAGGAGCCTGATAAATGATCACATGGTCCGGGAGATCTCCTCTCGGCAGATCCGGTGATTAAGTTCAACATGGAGGAAATCCACTGATCCAGTCCGCAGATGTCTCACAGAGAGAGAGACGTTAATATTTGTTTACTTTTTTGGTTACAGATGAATATAGGCTCACACTTCAGGCACAAGTCAGGAATAACCCTAACAAGGATGCTATCATGTTAGGTGTGTTTGAGTATCATACCAAAGTATGATACTTTAACACATTATTTTTAATTCTACAACCATAGATCAATTTTGCGTTTACCTGCTGCACCAAACTCTTGATTAACAAAGAAAATGGGGCCATATTTGCTTTCTTGCCTGTATTTGCTTCCACTTCTGTTACAGTCAAACTTTAACACCGACCTCAACTAGTATCAATAAGATTCAACAGCGCTGATTACATTCTTCTGATATTAGTTCTGCAGGTCTTGACATTTTTTTTTACCAGTAGACATTGAGGGGCTTAAAAACCCAAAGAAGGGCCCAACAAAGCTAGCAAGCATTGGGACTGGATGGAGGGAGGACGAGGGGTAGAGGGTGGAAGGGGCAGAGAGAGGGGAGGGGGGGCAGAGTATGGTCCTCAGGGCTCTTTTCCACAGAGGCGTGTGACACTGGGCCTTTGAATAAATGCAGTGTGTGCTGCAGTGCCCTACAGAGGAACTGATAACACAGAAAGAGACCAGGAGGGAATTTGCTTTAACACAAGCTTTTTTTTTTTAACTCTTTCCTGTGCCTTTTCCAGTCCACTTCCACACCCCCTCCACCACCAGCAATGAGATGCTGATTCTCTGGTGGCTCGGCGAAGACCAACTCTCAGTTCAGCCTAAGTTTCAATGTTAATCAAGTTGTGTGTGTGATGTAATATTTCACTTGAATCATATAGGTCAGGCTGACACAGGGAACAAAATGGCCTAAATCTGATTCAACTTAGCAAAACAAAGTTGTGGAGCAAATGGCTTGCATCTTCCGTCGCGAGGGGACACTTGAATTCCTTTGGGTAAAGTTTTGAAGAGACCTTTGGCCTTGGAGAAAAATGTACAGCCACTAATCTCAAATCCCTCCATACATAGCCAGGCAGACAACCAGCTAGCTCCTCAGTAAACTATCAACATCACATTTATTGGATTTGAATAGGATATCTGTGTTAGATAACCATGCACAGAGAGAGACCTGACTTTCATGGGTTATCTCAGTTAAAGAGAACAGACAAATTTAGCAAAAAAAAAAAACAAAAAAATAAAAAAAGAGCAAAAGCAAAGGAGAGAGGGAGCGACTGTTCGAGACTGTTCATCTTTCATAACACGGGTTTTCCAAGAATCAAGCAGCCCTTCGTGCCACCCTCTGCCCCACATCACAGATCCTCAGGTAATCAATTTAAGGAAAAACAAACTTCCAGGTCTGAATCTTTTCATCATAGGGAACTTACCAAGAATCTAACAAGGGGATGCTATAAAGGTGCAGCCCTTCACGGTCGTAGTGAACAACAAAAGCAGCACAAAGCAGGTCAAGTTCCCGAATGGAAAATCGTAAGTATGGGTCGGCCAGTAAACTGACATCAGACAACATTAAATAAAGTTACACGCTCAGTGACAGTTGCTGATGTGCACAAGTTTAGCAGCAGTATAAGATTTAAACCATTCATCGTCGGTACAGTAATCCTGCACCCCAACACAAAAATAGATCACTCCAACAATGGGTGGGGCTGAACATAATATGAAGCTCACGTTCCACAACAGACTGTAATTCATACGCTAAAAAGAAGCACAACAAAAGAATAAACTTTTGTGAACCTAATCCTTGTTCTTTTGTTGAAATTGTATAAAAATAACACCGACAGGTCTCAAATGCCTCTCAACACTTACAGTGACCTGCTTGTTCTAACATCAAACAACCAGGATTAAATGTAGGCTTTAACATGACTGGCAAAGAGAGAGCTACATGGTGTAAAAACAGGGGCTCATTTGAATTTGCTCCACTTCAGTCGATGGACGCTGTCGGGTGGCTAGCATAGCTACCACAGTGGCATTTGTTTCCATTTGCATAGACGACCGTTGCGTCTGTGCTTTCTTTTCCATGGGCCTACTGTTATCCCAGGCTACTGTTGGGAAAGGTTTTACAAAAGGGATGCTTTGATGATAAAGAGTCCAGCAAAACACGCCGATTTACATATATGACAAGGGGAATTGTTGTCTTAAAAAAGTTCCCAGTCATAAAGGTGGGTGAGGAGAAGATACTGCATATGTATCCTGTCACTTCCTGCATATATTCCTAACATTTATCATCTATCTGTGCCATAAACATAGATCATGTGATTTTACATTAGAATTTTGTTCAAGTTTGATAGCAAAAGACTTAAACACCAAGTACAAATCCATCCCTTAATCACTTACAAGAGACACCAGCTTCTCCACCAATAGTACTCTTAAAAGACCATGACGCAAGGCAGCCATACTGCTTGTCATCTTCCTATTTGACTTACCAGACACAGCACACCACAACATAGTTCCCCAGCTCACTCTCCTCCTAACTTGCCATTACATCAACTTATAATGCCCAATAAAGTTATATAATTTGATAAAGAATACTATTATTTCAATCCCTGCTGCAAAAATCAGCAATTATTAACATAAGGGTGAGTTCAGCCTTCATGAAAGATGGTTAAAAAGAAAGTTTTATTTAAGATTCATAGTATGCCTGAGTAAATGAAGGCTTAAACTACCTTTGAGTGCCTGAAGAACTTTTCTTTGCTTTCACCAAAGCACAGAGAGTCTTTGACTAATTGTTTTCAGAAAAAGGTTTTATAACAGAAAAATTTAAGAACAAGTTGGGATTTTTTTTTAAAGAGTGGCAGCCAATAAAAACAACCCTAATGACTTGTCTCCATAGTCACCACTATGCAGTAAAGCATTTTAGTGATGTGTAAAGACCTTCATATCGTCTCTGTAAGGTACGTTTTATACCAAGGTAATTCTGAGCAGGATGATTGTGTTGTGAAATAAGAGCTAAAATTATAAGTAAAATAACTGATTAGTCGATTAAGGGACAACTATTTTGATAATGATCGAATATTTTAGAGTTGAGACATTTGTAGATATCACTTTGGGTTTTGGAACTATGTGCTAAAATTGGAAATCGTCATGTTACAGACACGATTAAATAAAGAAAGCTGAAAGCAATAAGCTGATAATAAAAACTATTTTTGCAGCCCTAATAAAAACTTTCATAATGTCACAACTACAGCAATTAGAATCAGTTTATCTGCCTATATATACACACGTACAGCAAGTCATTCATTGAAATGTAGGAAGTCAAAGGTCAGTGTCTACTTCTTCTTCCCATTTACAGCACTAACTTATCACGTAACAACTACTAAAATCGATTAAAGTGCACTGAACAGCACGTTTATCGAGACAAAGTTTCCCTTGAAGATTAATGAACTTGGTTCACCATGACATCATCTCTCCGAAAGTTTCCAGGCCAAACATACTTCCACATTTCACAACGGCGCCAACAGGTGAAAGCCACAGGTTACTGATTGGCCGTGTTCCTGCGCTGCTGTATTGGATATCATGCCTGGTGGCACTAAGTGACAATGTAGTGGTGACACTGACGGCACAAGTGAAGCCTGAGACTGATGACAAGCACAGACGCTCCAAACAGAGCAATGTTGTTCCCTTTGGCCGGGCCGGGCCTGGGAACTCAACGCCGGCTCTCCCCATGGCCCCGGCCCTCACACAACACAACATCACAGCGGCACAGACTACTGCTGCCCTGTTAACACTCTCACTGTGGGCCCAGTCAGGAAATTAACACTCAAATCCTTTTAATGGATATTCCTGTGATGTAGCATTAAATATTATTGCTGAGAGGGAAGCCTGGAAAGGGGATCATACAAAAAGATGTAAAGCAGCAATGCAGTAACAATTCCACTTTAAGGGCAAAGCAATGAAGTGATGGTATGGATAAGACCACAGAGCAACTGCAAGAACCAAAAAAGCCAGCAAGCACCCTGTCCACAAGGCCTGAATTTAGCTATATTTTGAGGCCTTGTTGGAGAGTCATATGCTATAATGTGGCTAAGAGATAAGACACACATCTGAAATTCATTCCTCTGAATCTTTTTTACATGTTGAACAACTGCAAACTTGATGAAATATTTTCCCAATGATAAAGGAGGCAGTGCTGCAACAAGCAATTATTTTCATTATCGATACATCGATTCACAAATAGTGGAAAATGTCAGAATTTCTTAAGGCCCAAGCTGCCTTACTGTGTCCAACCAAGAGTCCAAAACTCAAGGATATCCCATTTACAATAATATAAAACAAAGACATGCAACAAACTACAACCTGGGAAGCTGGAACTTTAAAATTATGCTTAAAAAGACAACTAAAATGACTATTTAGCTATCAAAATAGTTGCTGGTTATTGTTTTGTTGATCGAAAAATCAAGTGATCAACTAATAGGCCTAGTTTCAGCTCGAAAAAACAGCTTTTCTATTTTAAAAACAACCACAGTTGGCACTTTTAAATTGCAGTACCTAACCCCAGTATGATGACAATATGGATCACCGTCAACTCCAAAACAACCAACAGCAAAAATGCAGATCAATACACCAAAAGGAGACTAACCCTGTACTTGATACATACATAACAGCATGTTAATACTTTCATTTGGTTCCCAAAAAAGCCTAAAGTTAATCAACAACAACAAGAATTTAATTCAGTCCTCTATGAGTCTGTGAACAGCTCGGTCATTCCTGTTTTGTGGTGCTGAATATCCGGTGTCAAACAAGGAACACCTTTAAAATTATGTAAAACATTATCTACGTTTCCAACACATGACCTCGCTCTATTGAATGGCTGACCACACACACTGAAAAGAATCCCATGTGCACCAATTTGCATTCAAATCTACATATGGTACATCCGTTTTGGCTACGAACAGTAACCAAACTTTTGACAAGCCATGAAATCAACTGACTGTTGATTTCATACAAGTTAGCTGACATTTCCATTCATAACTGCATATCTCCTTAGCTTTGGTTTGTTAGAAAAAGACTCCAAGATATCACAAAGAAAGAGTAAATTAAAGAAGAGAGGCAACTTTGGGTCTGGTGTAGCAAATTTACATCTGATATCCCGCAGCTACATCAGCAGGACCTACATTGTTGGCCATAAAAAGAGCAAATGCTGTCATCACATACCATCCAACACCCACACAAACACAAATGCACATTAGGAAAGACAAACGATCACATATGTGTCTCACACATATTCAACATGTGCACACACAGAAACTTTATGGACATCTTACCTGTGAGTAGTCAAAGTCAGAGAGGGGTGCTATGCTTTTGATGTATTCGATTCTGAATTGGTCCTCTGGGTTGGCTAGCGGGACTGGGGGTATTAAAGTGCTCATCGCAGACACTATAGTCTACAAAACAGAAGTTTAAGGAGGAAAAAAAACAAGCATTAAGCAGGATGAATACAGGACAAACATCTTATAATAATAATCAGTAAACAACAGAGACATTATGAAGCAAAAAGGACGAAACTCACCACTATGGCATCCTTCACGTTTTTCCGAATATCTTGGATTTTCTGTTTCTTTTCTCTGCATGGGGACAGAATAGGAGTGTGGGGCAGTGGTTACGAAAACATCAACCACAGTAGACCACAAAAGATTTATCATCAAGGTGGTTATGAGCGAGATAGGGGTTACAGCCAGGTTAGACTGTATTCTTATTACAATTAAACATACAGTACAGGTGTAGAGGCAGGTAGCAGTATAAAATGCAGGATGGGGGTCGGTGAAATGCAGAAATTAGTAGATATAATGTGTTGTAGTCAAGATTTCCTATTTTTTTAACGTTTAAAAAGGACAATTATGCCTCATATTCTCTAAAATCCAGCTTCCATTGGATAAATACTTTAAATTTACACATACAGGGGATTTTCATACAGTTACAGGACTCTTGACATGTACTAGGCCTGTTTCAAATAGACCAGTGGTAAGATCAATGCCATGCAAGGCCTTGCAGCAAAACAAATCATCAATAGGCCTGTGTCGATCACAACCTTTCACCCTCTCACAGGAAACGGTTAATTATTTGGCATCTGTGTGACACTGAGATCATCACATATGTATGATAACTGTACATGTACACGAAAAAAGGAGGAAAAGGGAGAGTGAGAGGAGGGGGGAGATATTAGCTGCTTTGCATGGGATACTGGGCCCAACAGGCGCTGCAGTGCCTGGGGAAAATCCATTCACAGGCTATATTCTGGCCTCGACAGTGTTATTCATTAAGGGAGAAGCCATAAGAATAAGCACTGATATGATTTTTGAGGCGTCAATGTAGCTATTTAATAAGTGTATTGAATAGCACTCACTCCGCGTTGAAGCCGTTGACGTGTAGAATCCTCATCTGCTTCACAATGGTGCTTTTTCCGGACTCTCCCGCACCTTCGAAAATAGACCAAAAAAATACATGAAAATGTCACCAAAATGAGCACGAGCAGGGACATCCAGGTTAGCGTGAGAACCATACATGTTTTGGAAATGAAGCCAGTTAATTGTAGGCTCTCTGGAGCTTCGCTTCCATCAATATCCACCCCCATGACATATTATTGCAAGCGCTGTCAAATGGGGCTACGTGTTCGGTAAACGAAAGGGATTAGCTTACATTTCAGATAGCCATCACATATAAATCAGCCTTACCCAGTAATAAGAGCCTGTGTGTGGCTTTATACGCTTGTCTTTCCTTTTGCAACTGTTTTTCTATCTTTTTATTAGCCTCTCGTTGTGCCTTTTCGTCGATGCGTTGATCTTCAGTCTTGCTGTTGCCCAAACAACCCATCTTCCGTCGCCCTAACCCTTCCTTGTGGAATCGTAAAAAATATAAAATAACACCCGGGATGATTTTGTGGTTTAAAAATAACACAGGAATGAGTCTACTGTAAAATAAAAAAAGGAGAAAAAATCTCTGCGAGGCTTCTCCGTCGGAGGGAGGAATATGTTCCCCCGTTACAATTCCGCTTTAGCCGCAGCCAATCGTCATCCAAACCGTTTGTCAGTTCACAAACCAACGAAGAATAACGACTCGATTCTACAAAGAAATATCAAAAATACATATAAATAAGAGGAGAGAGAGAGGGTTTTCAATTCCACGGAATCCAGTCAACTGTTCCTATCGCGTCTCCAACCCCTCTCTTCTCTCAGTATTTTTTTCTATCTGAATTTCTATCAGTATTTCTGTCTCTTTAACTCAGCACTGCCTCTCTCTGTGGCACCAGGAAGTAACCGTGGACGGTGGAGGTGGAAAACAAACCTGCGTTAAACTGTAACATTAACAACCCGCACTGATATAGCATTTTATAACTGGAGTGGAAAAGAGAGAAGAGCCATTCCCGATTTAGTCCCTCGCAATCCTGCTATCAAACTAATCGGCGAAAGGGGTGGAAACCCGGACGCCTCTGTGTGCTGGTTTACAGAGAGGGGCTGGGTCTCTTCTTCTTCTTCTTCTTCTTCTTGGCTTCCAGTCAGTGAGGTGGCCCTGACCCAAACTGGCAACCCGTTTACTCTGTGTGTGTGTGTGTGTGTGTGTGTGTGTGTGTATGTGTGCGTGCGCAATGGACTTTACCTATCTCTGTAGTTTATACATTACAGGCCTGGGGGCCATCACTGTAGTCCTTGAGAGTATGAGGACTACAAGTAGTGGAGGAAGTACTATCATTTGTCTAAGTAAAGTATAGAAGCATGAGCAACCGAATGAACTTAAAGTATGAAAAGTAAGATATATACACATACAAATTATAAATCAACTTATACATTTTGATGTATTATTATTGAATAAGTTACCCAGCAGTATATAAAGTAATTGGCATTAGCGCCACCTTTACTAGCTGCTACAGTATCAGTCTGATAGGCCCCTTTCTACATAACAACAAGGACTTTAACTTTAAGTTTAATTAAGTATTTTGATGCCAATACTTATCTACATTTACTCAAGTAAGGTTTTGAATGCAGGACTTTTACTTAGCAGAGTATTTTTACACTATGCTTATTCTGAAATAAAAGATCTTAGTACTTCCTCCACCACTGGGTATTATTGCTTTTACTTTAGTAAAACATCTGATAACTTAACTAGTATAACTCATTCTCTCAAGGACTACTATGATGGCCCCCAGATCTGTTATCAGCCGTGGAAGAAGTACAGTTGGCCTGAGTTACTTTCCATCATGTTATAATATGTATAATATTAAAAATTAGTGCTTTTACTTTTAATACCTTAAGTTCTTTTTGTTGCCTACTGTATTTACGTGGTGTGTGTACTTATGTGGTAGAGGTACTTCTCAGATATTTTATTAAAGTATAACTAGCAATATCACATGTAAAAAAACCTCTTTGATCTTTCTCAAGTGAAGGCGCAGGAGTACTATCGACAAAGTGAACTTAAAGTATTAAAAGTAAAACCCCTTTTAGAGGTTTATACTGGATTATTATGCATATTATAAAGTGGTGGAAAGTAACTCAGTGCACTGACTCAAGTATAATTTTGAGGTACTTATACTTTATACATTACAGGCCTGGGGCCATCATTGTAGTCCTTGAGAAAAAAGGACTACAGTTATGTGGAAGAAGTACTCAGATCATTTATTTAAGTATAGGTAGCAATGCCACAGTGTAAAAATACTGTTTTAAGTTTTCTCAAGTAAAAGCTCAGAAGTATTATCAACAAAATGAGCCTAAGGTATTAAAAGTAGAAGCACTCATTTTGCAAAATGGCTATTTTCAGGGGTATTAATATCCATATTATACATCGGTGGAGAGTAACTAAGTTCATTTACTTAAGTAGGCCTACTGTACTTCTTCCATGGCTGATTACAGATCTGGGGGCCATCACGGTGGTCCTTGAGAGAATGAGTACTAATAATACATATTGGAGAAACTTCTTAGAGCTTTTACTAAAGTAAAAGTAATCATACGCAGTGGTGGAGGAAGTACTCAGATCTTTTATTTCAGCATAAGTAGCAACACTATAGTGTAAGAATACTCTGCTACATGTAAAACTCCTGCATTCAAAACCTTACTAGTATTGGCATCAAAATACTCACTTAAACTAAAAGTGAAAGTGCTCATTATGCAGGAAGGGGCCATATCAGATTCGTTGCAGCTGGTAAAGGTGGTGCTAATGTCAACTACTTCATATATTGCTGGGTAACTTATTCTATAGCTCCATAGCACAGCAATGGCTTCCAAATGTAATGGAGCATAAGTATAATGCCGCATAAAAATGGAAATACTCAAGTAAAGTACAACTACTGTAAAATTGTACTTTAGTAACTTTCCACCAGGGCCCTACTGGTGAAAGTAGTAAACCAACTAGTCTATGGTCAGTGTAATGTAATTCATGAAAACTGTGATTTACAAAATGAATTGTCCTCCTTTGTAATGTCATTTTGTACATTATAAATATTTAAACAAAATGTAAATGTCACAATTGCAATCTGTGTGTGTGCAGCAAGGCAGCGGTAAAAAGTAGCCGAGTATATTTTTATGTTCTGCACTAAAGTACAATTTTGAAATACTTGTATTTGACTAAGCATTTTCATTTTATGCTGCTTTACGCTTGTCCACTGCATTTATTGGACAATTATACTTCCTTTGCAGATTAAGATTCTACAAATAAACATGATCAGTTTATGAAATATGATGCACTGTAACATTCAACTACTTAAACATACAGGAAGTAGCTGAATTCAGCTCCACTTTGAACAGCTACAGCAGTTAATCACTTACGACACATTTATGCATCAGAGAAAGTCGTCACAATAACACAATATACAATAATATAACTGACTGGGGACACTCTGGTGCATGAATACTTTCACATCAGATATGTTAAGTACATTTTGCAGATAATACTTTTGTTACATGTAAATGAGAAACTTTTCTTTTAAAGATATTTTTGTGGGGTTTTTTTTTGCCTTTATACAATAGGACAGCTTTAAAGGGGGAGACAGAGTGGGGATGACATGCACAACAGGGCTGCGGGTGGAAATCAGGTTAGCTACTGGGTTTTTATTATTGTACTGCAAGTTTTACTTGAGTAAAGCATGTGAGTACTTCCCGCACTGCAGCAAATAAAGTAAATTCATGCAAATCTGCTCAATCGGGGTCTTTCATCCAATATGTCTCTATTTTAGTCTCCTTTGACGGCCATTAAACTATCCTGTAGAGCAGTGATTCCCATCCTGGGGGTCATGAGATAAATTTAAGAGGTCACAAAATAATTCTCAATATCACAAAGAAGAATAAACATACTACTAATAGTTTTTTTCAGACTTTCCTCTAATATTTGCTTTTTTTCTTGTGAATTCAGTGTAAATTTACCTCTCAAGCCTCTAAAAATGATTCAAAATAAACAATCTGAGAAAGAAGAATCACAAATTGATGAGACTGCTGGTTACATCAGTGACAAGGGGTGGCAAGTAGACACAGATTTGTTTAAGTGGGGGTCACAAGCCAAAAGGCTCTGGGAACCATTGCTATAGATCAGGCATGTCCAAAGTCTGGCCCAGGGGCCAATCATGCCCCACAGACCAACTTTAAACAGCCTGCAACTTGTCTCCTATAATAAACTATATGTGCCCTGCCACATAATATTAGTAAATCAAGCAAGTTCACTTTGTATTTTTACCATTCACCTCATGATGGCAGGACTATCATACAGTTTGTAGACATGCACTAAGAAGGAACTACGCAGGTGGATCTAATATGTTTTCATAAACAGGCGGTAACAAGCAAACGAAAGGTTACCTAGCAGCAAACACTTCCTGACAAGCAGCAGACATGGCCACAGCAAAGACACGTGAAGTCGAAAGTAAGGGCTGACGGTTTCAGACGAAGGAACACTTGTATCTCATTTGTATGTGGTTTTCTTTTTCTTTGTAATGAGCCATGTGACGTGAGAAGCAGCTGGCCCCCAGGTATTTTCACATTCTGGCCCCCATTCAAAAAGAAATTTGGACATACCTGCTAAAAAAGATCATGCAAACCCCTAAATACTAGCTGGCCAACTACATGCACTGGCCAGAGTACAAAATGATAATCACCGTAACATCATATAAAATATCAAAGCAAAATCATAAGCTATACAGTGTATCATCTCACTGTAAAATTGTAGTATTACTATAGGACATAAAAAATGACATTCAGTTTGATTAGGTCACCATACAGTCATCATCAAAAATCAAAATAAATACCACTAAGTATGATATAGTTTACAAAAAAAAAAACATATTGAGCAAACTATCAATCTTCTAGTGATGTTTTCTTGAAAAAACAGTCAACATACTCTTCTTACAAATGTCCCAATTTTGCCAATAAAAGAAACAATTTTTTTTTTTTTTTTAATGAATGTCTGCCTCCAAAAGACTATGACATAAATCAGTGCTCAACTA